TGCTTGTTTTCTTCTTCTTTGTTTGTCTTCTTGTGTGTGTGTGTGTGTGTGTGTGTGGCGCATCAACGCGTGAAAAACACGGCTTTTCTCTTTTTTTTTCTCCGTCCACGCGTTGAACTCTCAATGCTGTATCGCGGAAGTTTTGCAGCATCTTCCGCATTGTCATGGCATTCTCTGCGTTATTTATCAAGGTGCGAGTATGCGTGTGGGCGGCCCTGTTGCCGTGCTGCTGAGCCGCTTTTGTTGGAGACACACGAAAGGGTAGAGAGTGATGCAACGAGTTGCCGAGCTTGAGTGCAGACCCGCAAAAACCCCGAACGAGGAACGTGGACAACTCGGAAATACTAAACAGGCGTGCTGATGTCAGTGCTCGAAGTATGTGCCCACGGCTTGTCTCCGTAACAAGCATATATATATATACGTTTCCTCATGGGTGTTGTGTGTGTGTTGACGCTCAATATGCGCTGCACTCTTGTCGAGATTTTGTTGGTGCGATTTTCATGGCATAGGCCTTTGATCACCACACGCGCCGGCGTCAACAACTGTAACCTATTTAAAAAAAGAAAAGAAAAAAAAACGTCATCTATCTTAGTGGTGCTCGATGCTCTTGCGTACTACCACGTGTTCACTATGTCTTTCTTTCTTCTTCCTTCACGTGTGTGGTGTCCAGCAGGTGCGAGTCGTAGAGCCACCGTTGATGATCGTCGTCGTTGAAGTCGCCGCGAGGGCAGCACACAACTGACGATTCAGACAAATCTGCACGCCATTCGTTTCCTTTTTTTTCTTTCCCCTCTAGGTGTTGTACGACACGAGGGAATCAGAGCAAGAACTTCACATTTATACATACATGATGGGAAAGGCAACTATGTCCGCCGCACTCCCCCTTCGCACGCCGCCGTACTTGGTGGACGTCGCCGCCAACCTCACCGATTGCGTCTTTCGCGGGGTAGACTGGAAAGGCAATCGAATCCACGCGGACGACTTCGACCACATGCTCGCCCGCGCGCAGGAGCACAACGTCCAACAAATCATCATCACTGGCACGAACCTGGCGCAGAGTGCAAAGGCCATCGCATTGTGCCGACGATACCCAGATCGGCGTCTGCTCTGCACCGTTGGCGTGCACCCTGCCCATTCAGGAGAGTTTCTCCGCCCCCTCGACCACGCAGCGGTGGAGCGGGTCGTGCAGGACGACACCTCGGTGGTGGACGCGCATTACACACGCCCAGATGCCTGCACGGCCGAGGTTGAAGAACAACACGCCGCGGAGCGCCTGGCCTACTTGGTCGATTTGATCGAGAAGAATAGGGACGTGGTGGTGGCCGTGGGCGAAATCGGCCTCGACTACGCGGAGTTGATGTGCTGCCCCCGTGAGGTGCAGGCGAAATACTTTGAGCGTCAGCTCGTCGCCTTTGCTCCGCTGAACCTCCCCTTTCTCTTCCACTCACGCGAGTGCGGCATGGCATTTGTGCAGCAGCTGCAGTCCACGTGGCCCAGGTGCCAGCGGGACGCCGCTTCTTCTCCTTCCTTTTCTTCTTCGTTGCGTGGTGTGGTGCACAGCTTCAACGGCAGCCGCGAGGAGCAGGACACACTGCTCTCCATGGGCCTCTACCTGAGTGTGAACGGCAGCGCGTTTCGCGACAAGGCTGTCGCGGACCAAGTCGCTGCCATTCCGCTGCACCGCCTCCTGCTCGAAACGGACGCGCCCTGGTGCGATGTGCGACCGAAGGACTACGGTGCATCGTTCGTGACGACGACGCTTCGCACCATCAAGCGCAAGAAGCCGTTTGAGTTGGGTGCCTGCCTGGAGCGCCGTAACGAGCCGTGCCACCTCGTGCAGGTGCTGGAGGCGTACGTGGGCAGCCGACGGGTGTCGCCTGAAATCGCTGAGAGCGAGAGGGCAGAGGTGGACAAGGAAAAGGTTGTCGCCGCCGTGTATGAGAACTGCCACGCGCTCTTTGGCTTGTAAGCAAGTGAGAGCGACGAAGAAGGACAACGAGGAAGCGGGTAGATGAAACACTCCACCGTGTTTAAAGTGCCCTTCAATTATAATGGGTTTTCTTGGGTTTTGTTTCCGCCCTTTTCAATGGCAGACGAACATTATGACAGCGGATTCTGCTGTATTCGCTGGCTCTCTTCCTTTGGGTGCCAGCTTCATCCTTCACACACTCGTATTCACTTTCCACAACCGATCAGCACTTCAACAAGTAAACTGGACACGGCAACCCACTTTCGTGGAGGGACGAAGCCCAAGCCTGTCGCCACGGAAGCCGCTGAAGCCGTACACGTTGCGCAGCCACCGCGAAAACCGTGATAATAATCGACACAGCGGCCTTCAACACCGCCCACGAAAAAGGGTTGGGCGGTGCAGCTATTTCCAGTGCGTGCGGTGTAAGTAAAATGGAATGGTAAACGAAAACGCCTGTACGCGAGTCTATTGCGTTTTTCTGTCCCTCTTTTTTCTTTCTTTTCCTCCGTCGGCCCGCTCTATTTTACCCACAACAGGTACGTTCAACTAAACGAAAAGAAGAAGAAGAGAATGAAACGAGAACACGATGCGGCGGAGCTGACACACGATCTCACGCTCGCGGGCGTGAGTTCGTCTCCGCCGGGATGCAAGCGGCGCAGGGTAAACGGGAACGAGCACGGCCTACCCGATCACGCTTCTGTGGTGGAAGAAATCGAAGAGGTGCACGAGTACCAGACGATTCTCTTGCGATTTCCTTGCTTTGACTTCTTTCGGAATGTCCACCTATGCGAGATGGCGGGCGATGATCTCGGAAAGCCGGCAAGCAGTTCCACAGCGCTGGCCGCACCTGAGACTCGCACCCGTGGTGAGGCGAAGTTTGCACCGGAGGCCCTCCAGTTTCTGACCCACACCCTCGACACGGACACCCCAATTGCGGTGCTCAATCGCGGCGCGGCGAGCGAAATGGTCTTTGAAGGTCAGTGGTGTGAGGTCAGCGGCGATGGCACCGCCGTCACCAATCGGGCTGTGGTGCACCTCGCGTCTGAAGCGGCAGGGCCGTTGACACAGACATCAGAGGTGCCGTCTGCCGTTGCCGCCTCTTCATCTTCCGCTTCTTCTGCCCGGGAGACGTCTTCAGCGGTTGCCAGTCTCCTCCCGCACGCGGTAGCTGGCGTGACGGCGGACGAGGAGCGACGCGCGCGCACAGAGCAGCTGCAAGGCTGGGTGTATGACCGGGTAGACGTTCCATCTGCTGTGCTTGTGATGCAGCGAGTGCGCTGAGCCTTCCTTCTTGTGCCATATTTTCCCTCACCTCCACTCCATTCAGATGGTGTGTAGGTGTATGTGTGTGTGTGTGTGTGTGTGTGTGTGTGTGGTTCAGCGATGCTTGTAGGCCGTTGCCGTGGTGCATAGCTCTTTGAGAAGCATGACTGCTAGCTGCAGTGCGACTGTCAACGTGCGTTGACAATGAGCTCTCTCACACACACGCACAAACCAGCATCATCAACAAACCCGTTTATATGTCAACGTCTGTGACACGCAGAGTGGAGCGACACGTTGTGTATTCATGTTATAGAAAGCTAGAGGCAAGTGGAAAGCCTTTTTGCTTGGCCTGTGGAGTACTCATGGTTGCTCGTGTTGTCCCCCTCCTCCCAATCACAAAGTTAGTTGCGATAAAGAAGTGTTTTTCACATCTACGCTTACTCGAGGCCTGTTATTTCCTCTGCCCCCCAAAAGAAGTGGCGCCTGCTCCATGGAAGCACCGGGATGAAAGGTGGCCCCAAATTCGTGTTGTCGTCTTCGCGGTTGAAGGCACAACATCCGACGCCTGGTGTCCGTTGATGTCCATTCGCGTACGCATTTGCAATCCCTTCTGTGACCCGAGTTCGACTCTTGCTGCGTGGTTATACTCTCCCTCCCCCTCCTGCGCCTTCCTCCTCTCACTTCTGTTTCCCCCTATTCATAATGACGAGTAAGCACATCCCCCTGCGTAAACTCTTTCTTCTTCTCCTATCTGTTGTTCTTCCCAGCACCGTTTGTTTTCTTCATTCATTTCGTTCCGCTTCGCGTTTCGTCTCTTCTTTGTTTTGTGTTTCTCTGCTGTTATGTGTTTGCGGAGTCGGCGCGTGGCACTTCTTAAAGCAAATTCTTTTCTTAGCATTGTTGCCGAGCCGCTCAATTTTTTTTTTTTGCGAGTTGTTGCCGCTGCTGCTCTTTGGTGTTTGCCTTTTCTTTCCTTCCTTCCGCATTCATTGCCCACCATAAGGGACGGAGTTGTGTTTCGCAGTGGACGCTTCAAAAACGACACTTGGCTCAATATCTTCAAGAGTCTTGACGTGCATCTCTTTACTTCTCTTTTCCCGTGGTGATACTTCTCCTTGAAGAAGAGGAGGAGTGCTGCGAACTGTATGCAGCTCGACTGCTGTTCTTCGTCACTCCTTTGCCGGCGTACGTCCTTCCCAACCGCATCCTCCCCGTGCGCGCGATAGCAGAGTTCGCGCACGTGCAGCACCAATGCGATCACCAAACGCTAGTTTCGCCTCGTTTGCGTTGGAAGCGGAGCCGCACGAGCGACGCCGCACGGAGTGTCACCAACGTTCTTATGAGGCAATTTCCAATGAGCAGACATCGACGGAGTCGTGGGACCTCCATGCGTTACACGGAGGAGACCTGGAGATGCGGACGAGCCCCGGCGTGATGGTGACGGCCAACTCTACTGGCATGTGGACGAGTGGAGGGCGAGCCCTTCTCCCAACCCCACCCGACCGCGGCGAGAACTCAGTAGACAAGCACGGCGACTCCCCCATCAGCGCCGAACTCGCCCGCAATCCGTACGACGTCTGCAACCGACCACGATACCGCGCTCTGGTGCACGACGATGCAGGGGAGCTGTCCTCGCCGGATCTTTCGTCCACCACCTCAAGCCTTGCTCGACCGAAGCAGGGAGTCTTTCTGCAACAGCTGGGCCACACGATTCTGCGTGTGCTGATCCTGATGAAGCGCGAGTGGTGCTCCACGGCGTGCGAGCTGCTCATCCCGATCATCTTCGTCATCGGCTCGGTGGCGCTGTGGGCCATCTTTGGCACCTCGAAAGGCGCAGAGGGCATCTACTTCTCCGACTCGACGCCTAGTTCTTTGCAGCGCCTTTTTGCCTATGCGCCGACGGCCGTGTGCGCGAGCACGAATGTGACGAACACCATCGTCGGCGTGGCGAACTGCTCCGCTGCGGGGGCTGCGGCGATGAATTCATCGATTCACTGCCCCAGCGGCCGAGGCATCCCTGAGGGACTATGCTACTACTCCGCGTTGCTCCAAGCCGCTGCGGTTATAGTGAACTCGACGCGCCAATCTACGTCGGTGGTGCTCCCACTGGACACGCTGATTGCGCTGCAGTGGGTCGCGATGGACGATTCTGTCTCCGTCTCTACCCCATTTTTCTACGGCGGCAAGGTGTACTTCGCACCGGACACGGCAGACGTGCGGGCGCTGGTGGCGAAGATGAACGCGAGCTCGGTGCTGTTCCCGAATGTGTACGGCGGGATCTACGCCACGGTGGACGCGGCGACGACGTATGTGCAGAAGCTGTCGAGCAAGGACCCGCCGACGTGGGCCATTGTCGCGGTGAACAGCTTCACTGCGGCAAAGTTCGACGTGACGATCATGGTGAACCAGTCGGCGCTGCCCAAGACGACGACGAAGCTGGTGTCGATGTATCTCGGCGGCCTCGATACGAACACAAACACGCCGTACCTGTTCTCCGGCTACACCACTCTGCAGACGTTCGTGTACGACCACTACATCACGACGGTGCTGGGCGGCACAGCCGCGAAGAGGCTCAGTTACACGGCGATGCCGACGCCGGCGTACGAGACGTATTCCTTCCTGACCTACGGCCCCCAGCTGGCGCCGCTGATCCTGGTGCTGGGGTTTCTGTACCCTGTGTCGCAGCAGACAAAGCGAATTGTGCTAGAGAAGGAGTTGCGCATCCGCGAGGCGATGCTGATCATGGGACTGTCGGAGACGACGATGTACCTTGCGTGGATGATCGTGTACGGCGTGTGGTACTTGCTGTCCTCCGTGATCATTACGGTGCTTCTGCGCCTCACCTACCTGCCACACACCAGCGCTGGGTACATATTCTTCATGTTTTTGTTCTTCTCGTGGTCGACCATCACGCTGTCCGGCGCGATTGCGGCCGTCTTCAGCAAGGCGCGTCTGGCCGCGCTGCTGGCGCCGCTGATCTACTTCGTGATGGCAATCCCGCTCTTCGCCATGCAGAGCGCGTCGGGTGCCGCGAAGACCGGCATCATGATCCTGAGCCCGAGCGCGCTGTCGGTCGGCTTCGCCATCGTTTTCGATCACGAGGTAGCGGGCGGCACCGACGCGAAGGCGCTGACCTACTTCCGCGACGACCCAAAGCTAATCCTGGTGTATGTCTTCCTCGTGCTGGACATCTTGCTGTACCTGTTGATCATGGCCTACTTCGACTGCGTCATCCCGAAGGAGTGGGGCACGACGAAGAACCCGCTCTTCTTCGTCATCGACCCGATCAAGTGGTGCTGCCGCCGGAATGGCGCGGACGACGACGACGACGACGCGGGCGACCTGCCGGACGGGCGTGCCGAGGATGGCGTCTTTGAGGAGACGAACTCCGCCGAGGAGGCGCACGCCGCCGTGCAGATCCGCGGGCTGCACAAAAAGTTCAAGCGCGGCGGCAAGACGTTTCTTGCGGTGAACAACTTATATTGGTCGCTGAAGGAGGGGCAGATCTCCGTTCTGCTGGGCCACAACGGCGCAGGCAAGTCCACGACGATGAATTTGATGACCGGTATGCTGGAGCCGGACGGCGGCGACTGCTTCGTATACGGGTGGTCAGTGCGGCATGAGCTGAGCAAGGCGCGGCAGGAGATCGGGCTGTGCCCGCAACACAACATCCTGTGGCCGACGCTGACGGTACGGGAGCACCTGGACTACTACGCGGCCATCAAGGGTCTGCGCGGTGAGGAAAAGGAGGACGCGATCCAGCGCCTGCTGGCGGCTGTGGATCTGAAGGACAAGGAATTCTACACGTCGAAGGCACTCTCGGGCGGACAGAAGCGCAAACTGTCGGTGGGAGTCGCGTTTGTGGGCGGCAGCCGGCTTGTGTTCCTCGATGAGCCAACGGCCGGCATGGACGTCGGTGCGCGGCGGCACACATGGGGCCTGCTGAAGGAGATGGCGAAGTACCACACCATCCTGCTGACGACCCACTTCATGGACGAGGCAGACCTGCTGGGCGACACGGTGGCGATCATGAGCAACGGCCGCCTGCAGTGCGCAGGCTCAAATGTGTTTCTGAAGTCGCAGCTCGGCGTCGGGTTCGTGCTGACCATGTCGGTGGCACCACACACCCGCCGCAACGTGGTGGATCGTTTGGTGCGGAGGTTCGTGGCGGACGCGGAGACGGTGGGGAGCGGCGCGGGCGAGTTTGCCTATCGGCTGCCGATGGCGTCGAAGTCGACGTTCCCAGACTTGCTGGCGGCGGTAGAAAACGGCATCCCCCGCCTTGGCATCAACGCGTACTCTCTGTCCGCGACGACGCTGGAGGAGGTGTTTCTCAAGATCGCTGAAGGACACGCCGCGGACGAAAGTTCACAGGAAGAAGTCATAGAAGAGGAGGAGAAGGCCGCCGCGACGAGCGCTGTGTGGAATGTGGAGTTGGAGACGAAGTCGATGGTGCGGTGGTGGCTGCAGTTCCGTGCGATGATGGTGAAGCGGTTTTGGAATGCGCTGCGCGACCGCCGCACGCAGTTCTTCCAGATCGTGTGCCCGGTGGCGTGCGTGCTGCTGGCGATGCTGCTGACGCTTGTGAAGCTCTTTGAGTTTCCCGACATGTCGCTGACGAGCAACGTGTACGGCGCGACGGTGGACGTGCCGCTGGCGAACTGCGTTGGTGTGCTGGACACGACGACGCCCTTCTCCTCGAATGTGAATCTGGACCTTTGGAGCGGCACCTACAACGGCGCGACGTTCTCTTCTAAGCTGCGCGAGACGTACGACGCGCACACGAACGAGCGCTACGGCGGCGTGGTGTGCGCCGCGACAGCCGCGGACATGTACCACCGTGTCTTCTACAACACGACGGCGAACCACGAGCTGGCGATTGAGACGGCGAATGTGTTTGCTGGGTACGTGCGGCAACTGACGGGGTCGAGTGCGGTGGAGATGCGCACCGTGGTCGCGGGGTTGCCGAAGTCGGCGCAAGATGAGGCGGTACAGTCCTCTATCTACGCCATGATGATCGCGATAATCATCATGATCCCTTTCACCTTCATCCCGTCGACGTTTGTGGGGTGGATCGTGAAGGAGCGCGAGTGCAAGGCGCGCCACCTGCAAAACGTGTCTGGGCTCAGCTTCTACGTATACTGGTTCTCCAACTTCCTATTCGACCTGTGCTGCTACATCATCACGATACTTCTCGTGATCGCGGTGTTCGGCATCTTCCACCGCACGGAGTACATCGGCGCGCAGAACATCGGCGCAACGTTCATTATTTTTCTCATGTACGGCGTCTCCGGCATCTTGATGGCCTACGCGGTGAGCTTTCTCTTTCACAACCACTCCACCGCGCAGAACGTCGTGATGCTGGCGAACTTCATCGTCGGCTTCTTGCTCGTGCTGGCCGTGTCCGCATTAATGATGATGACCAAGACGGAAAAGGTCGCCAAAGTGCTGCGATGGATCTTCCGCGTGGTGCCGTCCTACTGCGTCGGCGAGGGCATCAGCAACCTCGCATCGCTCAAGGTGAAGCGTGCGTACGGCCTTTCGGCAAGCGCGTGGGACATGGACGTGGTGGGGTGGGTCTGCATGTACATGGCGCTGGAGATCCCCTTCTTCCTGTTCGTGACGCTCTTCATCGACCACCCTGGCCGGCGGCAGCGCAGCCAGCGGCTGCTCCACAACCCCGACGCGGCGCCGGAGGAGATCTCCGACGAGGACGAGGACGTGATCGCGGAGCGCCACGACATCTTCGAAAACCCGGAGCGGGAGGCGGACCTGGTCCGCGTGGAGGCGCTGCGAAAGGTGTACTCGAACGGGAAGGCGGCGGTGCGCAACGTGACCTTCGGCGTGCGGCCCGGCGAGGTCTTCGGCTTTCTCGGCACGAACGGCGCGGGCAAGACGACGACGATATCCATCTTGTGCCAGGAGTTCTACCCGACGGGCGGGCGGGCGTACATTTGCGGCAACGACATCGTAACGGACAGCGTGGAGGCGCTCCGGTGCATCGGGTACTGCCCACAGTTTGACGCGTGCCTGGATCTGCTGACGGTGGAGGAGCATCTGTACCTGTACGCCGGCGTGCGTGGGATCTCGTCTCGCACACGCGATGTGGTGGTGGCCGGGCTGTTGAAGTTGTGCGGGCTGACGGAGTATCGCAAGACGAAGTCGCATGCATTGAGCGGCGGCAACCGGCGCAAGCTGTCCGTTGCCGTGTCGCTGATGGGCGGGCCGCGCGTCGTGTTCTTTGACGAGCCGTCGGCCGGCATGGACCCGGTGGCGCGGCGCGGGCTGTGGAACGCGATCGAGACGGTCGCGGACAACTGCTCCGTTGTGCTGACGACGCACCACCTGGAGGAGGTGGAGGCGCTGGCCCACCGCGTCGCCATCATGGTGGACGGCGCGTTGCGCTGCATCGGTGACAAGACGCACCTGAAGCAGAAGTATGGGACCGGGTTTGAGGTAACGGTTGTGGTGAAGGAGGAGGAGCCTGCTGTGATGGCGGGGATCAAGCAGTACTTTGCGGAGGCGTTCCCGACGAGTGAGCTGTCGGAGGTGCGGGCTGGCCGCTTCACCTTCGAGCTGCCAAACACGGTGAAACTGTCGAGCGTGTTCACGTCGCTGGAGGAGCGGAAGGACGCACTGCGGATTCGGGACTACAACGTGTCGCAGACGTCGATCGAGCAGGTCTTCATGCGCATCAGCGAGGAAGCGGAGCAGCGGCAGGAAGAGGAGCACCGACTGGAGATGGAGAGGAGGGAGAAGTCGACGTGCTGTGGCGGCGGATGTTGCGGTAGGGTTGATTAGTGCCGTTAGGGGCAGTTTTCTCTGACATCCCGAAAAGTAGGGCCTTTTCGGCATCTAACGTTCTCCACCTGTTTCTCCTCGATTCTGTTCATGTATTTTTTTTGTGATCTTAATATATTCTTTTCCGGGGCGTGAACACATGTGCACACTTGTCGGCTGGTTCCATCGGGGGGAGGTCCTAGCCGCATTTTTTTTTTGTAGAAGGCAATCGGGTGTCTATTATCTTTGTGTTATTTGTTGTTTCGGCTTCATGTTTCTTTTTACTTGCATGTGCATATGCCTCCTGTTATTCCTCCTTCCTTTTCCCTCACACTGGCAATGTATTATTGTTATTAATGTTATTAATGTGATTGTTATTGTTATTTTCCTGTTTCTCTCTCACGTCTTGTTGACACGGTGGTAAACAGTGATTACAAATATGTATTGCAGTGCGTTTTCAATTCTTACCATTATTATTGCCGTTATCGTTTTGTAATCATGACGGCGAACTTCGACGGACGAGGAGTTGCGTGGTCATTTCCAGTAAGGTCTTTTTTTGTGTGTTTACATAAAGTGTGTCTTTCTGGAAAGCTAGTATTTTCTTCTTCTTCTTTCCCCCGTTGATACGTCACAATGGAGACTTTTTTCTGGAAGATGTTGTTGTTAGCCATGCTGGTATATAAACAAGTGTCTCGTAGTTTCGTTGCGGGCAGTAAAGCCGACGGATATCGCGCCAGTGCAGGTGCCTTCTTTTTCTTTCTCTCTCTCTCTCTCTCTCTCTATATATATATATATATATATAGTGTC